AAATTCATTTTCCAGTCACCAATTTATACACATTGGAGTCATGACAACCCCCTCCATGGAGCAGTACTCCCTCCACCTTCGTCCTTGGCTCTCTGTTTCTAGCCACCCGCCTTCCTGTCCCCTTCTCCCCTCTGCACTTTGTAGTTCAGCAGACGCTCCCTTTGGGTCGCTCTGAAAAGCGTGGGGGTTACTGCTCAATGAGACGACCGTCAATGTTTTGGTGGAAGGCTGAGCTCCGGCCATTGGTTCCGTCCCAGGTTTGAAGGGTGTCTAAGGGCCATGGTCTCCTGAGTCCTGCCAGTCTCTAAGAGACCATTAAGTCTTACCATTTTCTGCAGCTGGATACCGTTTTGCCAGCACCGTTTGTTGGAGAGACTATCTCTCTCACGCCCCATGATTTGGCTGTTGGTCAGCTGTCCATACGTTTATGGGCATACTTCTGGGCTCTCGGTTCTGTTCCATTGGTCTAGGTATCCGTGGTTGTACCAGGACCAGGCTGCTTTGACTACCATGGCTGTATAGCAGCTTGTGCAGATGGAACGAGGAAGCCTCGTGCTTGGTTCGTCTTGAGTAGTGCCTTGCTTATGCAGAGACTCTTTCCTGTTAGTGATTCGTTTTCAATGGGTGATTCGTTTTTCTATCTCTTTAGAGAATGTTGATGGACTCTAGATTGGGGTGACATGACATCCAGATTGCTTTGGGTAGGTATTAAAATTTTCGCCATGCTGAATCTTTCCTGTTTATGACCGTGGCATGTTCTTCCCCATAGCTAGACCTCTTGGTTTCTTAGAGCAGTGTTTCTTAGTCTTGTATATATAGACAGACTTTTGTGTCTCTGGTTAGATTTAGTTTTAAATACTTCATCTTTTTCGGGGTGGCTATTATAAATGGGATTGTTTCCTGGCTTCCTTTTTAGCATTCTTTTGTTGAGTGTGAAGAAATCCAACTGATTTTGTGTGTGGATCTTGGACCTGCCATACTGCTTTCTTATAGAGTCTCTGGAATGTTCTATGTATAGAATCATATCATCTGCAAATAGGGATTCATTTTTTTTTACCAATATGGATGCCTTTTCTTTTTTTTCCCCCTTGTTGCTCTGGCTAGGGCTTCTCGTACAGTGCCAAATAAGAAAGGTAGTAAGCGGCATCCTTATCAAGAGGAATGCTCTCAGTGTCTCTGTGTTGGGAAGAAGGTTGGCTATTGGTTTTCTATCTATGCCCTAAATTTTGTTAAGGAATTTCTCCTCCCTTCCTGTTTTGCAGAATGTGTTTAATCAGATAGGGTGCTGGATTTTATCAAATTCCTCTTCTGCATCCATCGATCTGATCTTGTGGGTCTTTACCTTTGCTATGTTTATGTAGTAGATTAAGTTGATTGATTTTCTAATGTTGAACCATCTTTCCATACTTTGTATATGAATCCACTCAATCATGATGTATTTTTAATATATATTGTTATAATCTATTGGCTAGTAATTTGTTTAAAATCTTGCATCTATATCCATGAGGGATATTGATCTATACTTGTCTTCTTTTAGTGGTGCCTTAGCATCAGGATTAGGTTTGCTTCTCAGAATGAATTTGGGAGTATTCCATCATCTTCTATAGTATGCGGCAGTTTGAGTAGAATTTGGATCAGCTCTTCTCTGAATGTTTGGTAATATTCTCCAGTAGAGTTATATGAGCCAAGGCTCTTTTATTGAGAGGAGCTTTAAGGGTGGTTTGTTTTGTTTATAATGACCTCTTCAATCTCTTCTATTAAGGGTTTGTTCAAATGTTCTACTTACAATTGTGCTAGTTTAGGTTAATACTATGCTTCTAAACATGCATTTATTTTAGGTTTTCAAATCTATTATAGTCCCATCTAATCTTTTCCACCACTTGTCTGTCAGTTTGTCATACTGTGGTGGCTTGTGTGTTGCGATGACACTGGAATCTATGCCATTGGTATTTCAAATACCAGCAGGGTCGACCAAAGCGGACAGGTTTCAGCAGATCTTCCGGACTAAGAAGAGACAGGGAAGAAGGAAGATGTCGTCCACTTCAGAAAATTCAGCTGCTGAAAATCTTATGGTTATGAAGCAGGCGGCATTTCTTTCTGTTGTACACCGGGCCACTCACCATGACTCAGAACCTACTCAATAGCACCTAACACCCAATCTCTTGAGTGCCTAGAATCAGTGTGATTGCATACAGATAATTTATTTAATCATTTTATTAGGGGCTCATACAACTCTTATCACAATCAATACATCAATTGTGTCAGGCACATTTGTACATAATTCTTACAAGAACATAATGCCGCCCAAGGCAGACGTTTTCTGGTTAGTTAAGTAAAACGATCTTTTGGTGTTTAAAAGACTTCAGGGGAATTGGGGGCTTCAGTTTTAACGATTAGCGCCAGGTAATAATTTTAGGTGGTCCCTCCAAACTTGATGGAGACCATGAGAATGTGGAATTCGCTGCACTTTCCCTGTTTGATTCAGGATTCTTCTATGGAATCCTTGATCAAATATTCAATAATAGTAGCCAGGAACCATCCAGTTCTGCTCATGCCAAGGGAGGCAATAAGCATACATTCCATATCGTAATTCTATCACTGTCTCTCCTTCATCCTCTTGTTCGAGACCCAGAACAACTTAACATTTGGCAAGCAAACATCCAAGGCACAATTATTGGTCTCTATGGTGTCCCCAGGCACCACACATCAAACTAGGATGTAGAACAAAGCATCGAACATGTTATTAGCCCAACTCACTGGGATGTTACACAAAAACAAAACTAAACCTCCAAAGGAAGAAACGAAATCCCTTGAGGGTTTTAGTCATACGTAGGCAGCCTCATCAGCTATTCTTTTTGGGGGGTCGGGTGGGGTAAGGAAGAGTTTTCATTGTTATAAATGTACCTACCACAGTTAGTACTGTTCTTAAGCAGGAACAAAGAGCTACTGAAACAATAAGATGCCATTGTTAGCCCCTCAGGAAATAAAACCCAGTATGGGTTGTATGGTTTTTGGTTTTTTAAGTTTTGTAAAAATACATATAACATTCGCCAATTCAGCATTTATAAGGCATATAATTTGGTGATATCAGTTCCATTAGTCCCCTCCCAGCAAGTCAGTTCTGACCTTCAGTGACCCCACAGGACATGGTAGAACTGCCCCTGAGCGTTTCCAAGACAGGAACTCTTTATAGGCGTAGAAAGCCTTGTCTTTTCTCCCTTGGAGTGGCTAATGGTTTAGAACTGCTAACCTTGGGGTTAGCAGCCTAATGCATCAGCAGGAGAAAGATAAGAGTTTCTACTCCCACAAAGATTTCCAGTCCAGAAACCCAGTGGGGGCAGCTCTATTCTGTCCTGCAGGGTGGCCATGAGTCAGAATCAACTCTGAGATCACATTAATCACATCGGTGTAGTCAACCCTGGTGCATGAACTCGATACACTCTTGAATTCTGGGTGATTAAATCTCATAGCCAAAACATACTTCAAATTCTGATTTTAAACATCAGTAACCCTCGGTCCAAAATGCCCAACCTGGTTTGGGTCAAATGTTGCTTCTGACTCCTATGTGTCAAGGAATTGCAAGGGCAGGAGACAGGGTCCTAAACATGTGTGGAAGTCATCAGCATAATAGTGTTTCAAACACAACACTCAGAAACAAAGCGAGATAAAGGGAACTGTCGTGGCCCTGCGATAACCAGGCCATTTCCTCACTTCCTGCAGGGTAACACACACACACACACACACACACACACACACACGTTGAGGGAGGAAAGCACATCAGCACCCCAGTCAGTTCTTAGCGAGACCTAGTCCTGACCACCTGCTTCAAACTGCGCCAGCCCTTTAGGGCTGTCTGCGCGCCTAACCCCAAGAACTTGCTGTAATTTATTCTTACTGGTTGTTGGGTTAGGTGCCTGATGGTGCAACGGTTAGGCACGCGGACAGTAACCTAAAGACGCATGTCTGAACTCAAGAATACAGCCTTGGAAAGCTGTGGGGCAGTCCGAGGCTGTCCTGTCGGTGGCTCTGGGTCTGGGTTGTCCCGCTGGCTCTGGTGGCAGAATGAAAAGCGACAGGCTGCCAACCAAAGGGTGAGCCCTTAGGGTCCACCAGCCATAAAGCTGTGGCCGTCGGCTTCGGTAAAGATTAGTCTCGGAAACTTAATGGGGATGTTCTGCTCTGTCCGACAGGGTTGCTATGAGTTGGGATCAACTCAACTGCAGTGGGGTTGACCTGGGGTATTGGGTTCACATGCTCAGCTACCATATGACCGTCCAGAGGTTTGTTAGGAGTTCACGTTGGTCCCAGAAAAAAGGTGTGGCGGTCGACTGGCTGGCAATCCACTTCTGAACCCAGCTCCTGAAAACCCTGCAGAGCACAGATCTAATCTTAAGCCACATGCAGTGGTGACGCCACAGCAGCTGGTCGTGGTGGAACCAACCTTCAGGGAAACTGGGCAATAAAGGTCACGCATGCTGATCCCAGATGCCAGAACAAAGAGGCAAGCCACCCCTGGAGGCTCTCACATTGTCTCTATTATGTGGAATAAGAAGCACTCCGCATATTGTGAAAACAGAGTAAGAGAGATGATAGACTTCGTGCACCATGTCCTTCGTAAGAAAGGCACAAGTATAATGGAAAATTCAGTGCAGACAGTAAGCTGCTACCTGATGTCTCCATCATTTACAAATACCTGGCGAGCTTCTTATAGATGGTCATTACCTCAGGCATGTTAGACTTTATTTTGTTCATCAGCTAAAGTTAAACTCTTCAAAACAGAAAGACTCTGCTTATTCACCTCATAGTAAAGTCACACACACACACACACACACACACTGCACTTGGCCTAAACACCAGGAAACATCTGATTGACCATCCAAGTAACATTTGGAAATAGATCCCAAATGAGGATTGTGAGCAAAGCCTCAGAAGTGCAGCCTGCATGTGCATCACGTCTCTCGTTTGTATGTTCTCATAGGAGTGCATCAGGAGACACTTACAGCTGTGCAAAAGAGACACTGGCAGTCCTGAAGAGTGGTCATCTTGTCCAGAGGCTGCTCACACAGGCAGAGCTTGCAAGTGACCAGGGGGGCCAGAGCCAGGTCTCCGGGCGCTGGATTTTCAGCAGTCATGTTGAGGTAGTGGAGCTTACCGACTGAGCCCATCGGCCTACCCGGACACGTCTTCTGTCTTCTCAACCCCTAAAGGAAGTTACAAAGCAGAAACTATTAGATCCACTGATAAGCATGCTTAGGGTCTGGCATAGCAAGGCTGTTCCCTTACTGATCTCTAAGCACACAGTTAGTGCATTTCTGAGAACCTCAGGCTAGAGAGCTCGCTGCCTTAGCAAAGTGTTCCTGGAATCCTGAAATAAAAGCTGACCTCGCTGCCCTGATTCCTACCATGTGAGCTATGGGAATCAAAAGACCGGGATGCGCAAGCACTCCACTCCAGTTGCCTCTCCACAACCGACTCTACCTATTCCAAAGAATATGCTTAAGCAGTGGCTGTGAAGGTTGCATGTATTTTCCTTCCTGTAAGTTATTTCATCCTTTACAACTGTACGGCGATTTTCTTCACCTCATAGATGATGTTAGCACTCCGTCAGTGCTTCTGGGCTTGCCCATGGCTGAGCCAGTGCCCGATCCACTCTGCTGGAGCTGCCTCACGACTGGATTTGTGTCGAAGGTGGGGAGAGAGAAGGAAGGGGGAGAAAGAAATGGGAGAGGCAGAGGAAAGAAATGAGGAAAGAGACAGACATCTATGAAGTCCCTACAGGTCACTGACGCTGTCCAGGAATAAAATTGGTATCCACCTGCAGGCCCTTTTCATGCAGTTGAAAATCAGGAAAGATGAGCATCAGGGTTCTACCCTTTCACAGTAGTTATTCAGGATGTATGCTGGGCAAATTATACACGAAGCGGGATCGTTTCACCAAGCTCAGCATCAGGGCTGGAGGAAGGTTCCTTAACCGCCTGCAGTACGCCGATGACACAACCTGGCTGGCTGCGAGAGTGGAGGACTTGGCGCACTTGCTGGTGAAGGTGAAGGACTGCAGGCAGGCTTCAGTACAGGTTAGGGTTCAGGGCACACAAAGCCAGCATCCTCACAAGTGGACCAAGAGACAGCACCATGATAAACAGAGAAATGAGTGGAGTGGCCGAGGATGTCATTGGCTGGAGTCTACAGTCAGTGCTGACGGAAGCAGCAGTGAAGAAATCAGACACGGTATGGCCGTGAGACAATCTGTTCCGAAAGCCCTCCTGAGCGTGTGGAAGAGCAAGAATGTCCCTTTGAAGGCTAAGGGACACCTGACTCATGCCACGGCATTTTTGATGGCCCCATCCACATGAGAAAGTTAGACAGTAAGTAGGAAAAACCATTGGAGAGCTGATGCATTTCCATTATCTTGTTGGCAATGAAGACTGAAAGTACTGGGGTCTGCCAGAAGAACAGACAAGGCTGTTTGAAGCAGTACAGCCAGAATGGTCCTCGGACTCATGGGTGGGAAGACTCTGTCTCGTGGACGTTAGACACGGTATCAGGAGAAACCATACCCCGGGAAAAGACACCATGCTTGGTAATGCGGAGACTCGGCAAAAAATATAAAAGTACGGAAGCCCCTCTGTGAGATGCGTTAACACTGGGGCTGCAGCAATGGGCTCAAACATAACCATTGTGAGGCTGGCCCGGGGCTGGGCAGAGTTGGGTTCCGTTGTACACAGAGTCACCGTGAGTCAGAACTGACGCCACCCCGCTCAGCAGTAACAACAAGGAAAAGGAGCAGGTCCGAAAAATCTACAAACTACAGTACAGATGGCCGTCTGGAAAAGGTAAAACTACAGCAACCATGAGCTAAAAGATCGAGGCTTGCTCAAGGAGAGAGGAAGAGGTGGAGCTCAGGCTATTGAAAGGGCAATAAACCTGTTCTGTATAGCTCTGTCATGGTGGGCGGATTACTGATTTGCCGAAATGCATAGGACTGTGCAACACAGAACCCTAATGCAAACCAGACTTGGATTAATATTAATAAATCAGAGGGGTTTGTCAATGGTAACAAGTATTACAGGTTGATCAAGAGAGAGCGAGTACGCAGGCCTGAGGAGTACCAGGGAATTCTGCCTGCGTGCACTCCACTCTCTGCACTATTTTTCTGCACACCTAAAACTGCTCTCCAAAGAGGAAATTCCCCTAGCACGTGGCATATCCATATTGCATCAGGAGCGTTCTTGTTCTCATTAAACAAAAGTAAACTCCTAAAGTTCTTCCTGTTTT